ATACCTATGTAAGACAATATACATAAATATATGAATATATTTGCGTATTATTGTAAATATATGAACTTGCATCAAAATGATCTTCACAACAATAAATCGTAAAAATAGAGGATAATTTAACGTTTTTCTTTTCATCTCTTCTCATGGCCTTGGACCATTTTTTTTCTGTTTTCGCTCATCCATTACTATTTATAAATATCACTAATTACTAATTATGCATTAATTAACACAAATAACTAAAATTTTGACTCGGATTCAACAGCGTTTAAAAGCAAACTGTGTAAAATAAACACGCGTCTGGCTCCACTCAACCAGAAGAACGGCTGGTGACGTCACAGCGGCAAGGCGCGGTAGAGAGCGTTTGCCCGGCCATTTAAATTAACAATATTTAATTATTTTATATTAGAGGCATTTCTTAACCGATATCAACGATTTTTTTTTGTTCAATTTGTAATTATATGAACTATTTTTTAAAACGATTATTTAAAAACATGCATTTTCCTCATTATAATAAAGAATCGCCTTTTTCACTCTTCAACAAGTTTCGTCCGATGGCCCGATAATTTCGAACCCCTCGCGACATAATAGGCCTCCTGACCGTCATTTTCTCACCCGTCTTCTAATTAAAACGGCAGCAGGGGACAAAATTGGAGAGACAGAGGTTTCTAAGAGACGTGTGGCACCATCAGGACGAGGAACAGACACCGCTCTCGTCCAGGCCAGAGACAGATAGCTGGTTAAATTAAGGCCTCGGTCGGCGGTGACAGGCCGGAGTGAGAGAGACCCCCGCCCTGCGCTCGTAATTGAATCTGAAGTGGCGTAATTAATTTGGGGCCAGATAATAGGCCTCGGTGACGGGGAAGACGTCTTCTCCTTCTCGGACCGGACCGGTTGGTGCGGACGGGACTAGTGAGAAGGAGGATGACCGCAGGACAAACGTCTAATTTTGTGTGTTGAAGAGAATGGAACAGTATACTGCGTGCCTCAGGATAGTTTTGCATTAAAAGTTTCTAGATTTGCCATCATTTTGTACATGTACAGGGTGGGTCAAATTCGACGCTTTTAAATGGAAACACCCTTTTCTATAGGAGATAGACGAAAACTAATATCGGTGTCTGGAGCTCAATTTTCATCAAAAACATGATGGTGAAATCCGCACATCAATATCTGTTACCGTTTCGGAGTTACGGGGTGTTTTTCAAAAATGTGCATTATTAACAAATCGCTGTAACTTTTTTGCTCTGGAAAATTTTGTATTTCTATGAAGACATTTCCAAAGCACCTTTTTACGTAGAATTTAAGGGTTTAAGTATAATTTTTTTTAAATTAATAATTTAAGAGTTATCAACAGAAAAATTGATTTTATATTTGGGACACCCTATATATTTTTAATTAACTGAAGAGAATTTAAAATTACCTTTTCAAAAATATAGCACACCTGATATTTTGTTATAATCCCCTTCGAAATACAGAATTTTTAAAAGCTAGCCACTTTTAACTAGTAGGCTTTGGATCCCTTATTGATGATATGCCTTTAATGGAACTCGAAAACATATTTTTCCAGCAAGACGACGCATCGCCTCTGAACGCTGAAGTTATCAGCAAATTTTTGCAGCCACTTTCAAGAATAATTGGATATCTAACCAAGATCTCAGCCGTTGGCCGTCGAGGCCGCCTGACTGAATAAAGGTTCCTTATTCTTCCGTATAATCTAGGCAAGAATTAAAAATACTTAGCAGTTATGAGAGGGTATCTTTCACCCCCACTGAGTTAATGAATACCGCGAGAAATTTTCAAAAACTGCCCCGTCTGCCCATAACAGAAGACGATCAATATGTCGAACACCTGTAGCAAAATCTCATGTCTTGGTTTGCTACTTATTTTTATTGTTATTAGATATAGTTTAAATGTGTTGATGTTGGTTAAATATATTTTAAATTGTTATAAAATTCTGCATCTCTCATAGCAAATATTATTTTCGTTTTAATTGATGCTCACAGCTAGAATTTTTTTGCATTATAGCCGGTGCCGTTCAAAGCCTACTTATTTAAAGCGGGCGAATTTTTATATACTCTATATCTCGAAGAGGAATCGAACAAAATATCAAGTGTGTTATATTTTTGGAAAGGTAATTTTAAATTCTTTTGAATAAAGTAAAAATATACCGGGTGTCCCATATAAAAAATCAAATTTTCTGTTGATAATTCTTAAATTATTAATTTAAAAAAAATTATACTTAAACCATTAAATTCTACGTAAAAAGGTGCTTCAGAAATGTTTTCATAAAAGTACAAAATTTTCCATAGCAGAAAAGTTACAGCGATTTGTTAAAAATGCATATTTTTGAAAAACACCCCGTAACTCCGAAACGGTAACAGATATCGATATGCGGTTTTCACCGTCTTGTTTTTGACAAAAATTGAGCTCCAGACACCGATATTAGTTTTTGTCTATCTCCTACAGAAAAGGATGTTTCCATTTAAAAGCGTCGAATTTGACCCACCCTGTACAGGGTGGCGCACCTCATTGCCTCATTCGCCTCGGTTGATTACACGAAAACGGAAAGATGTAAAAACAAAATATTTTATGGTTATATGTAGAGAGGCAATGTGCATAATTCAAAATTATTTTGAAATGTACAGGGTGTGTCAGAACTAAGATCCATACCAAAGTTATATTTTTTCTTATGGAACATCCGGTATTTTATTTCATTTTTGGATTCTTGGACATAAAATAAGGCATTTATTATAAAAGTTTAATATTAGGGTTTCCTATACCTGGCTCAGATTTTGAATAAAAAGCGATGTTTCAATAAAACTGTAATCAAGGTGGCTGGTGTCGCCATGGCAATTTTCTAGTGACAGTCGCTATTTGACACTTAGTAGCTATTTTCAAAATCGACATTAGTTTATGGACTTTATTTAAATTTATTATTATTAACAGTTAACTTTTATTTAATTTACCTACAATAGTTTAATAAGTAAGCATTTATTATGTGTCAAGAAAAATAAAGAAGTAGTTCTTTGATCTATATTACAATGACTTGTAGATATATTGGATTTTCTATAAAAAAAAACAATTAAGGCAAATTAATTTTCTTCACTTCCAACGACAGATTTCTGCCTAAGGCCGGGTCCACATATGTAGCAAATTGGTGTATCATATCTCCGTCGCGTTGCCCCAACATGTATCATGATCGCTAGTTTGGACGCAGAATTAACGCGATCATATAGTACTTAATACGTAATAACATATGGTACACCTTTATGATACCGTATCTGATACATGCCAATCCGAATTATGGCGCGTATCTTAACACTGCGTATCGGATACACGTATCACGATCTGTCATTTGGACGTGTTTTGATACAGTAGAACGATACAATTAACTTGATACGCCGTGACCCGTCTTGAGGCGGTTTTTCTCCGATCATCAAAGGGGCATCGAGGGTTCCGTCCTGATAATATAAATGAGAATTGATGAACATGATACGATGATACAAGGTGATTTGTTGTATCGTCCACATACACTGATACGCACGCTTGTACGCTGATACGTATGAATTTTATAAGTATGGACGCTTACTTTGGCACGATATGTATATTCAGTCGACACAGCCCAAATAAACGTCCATACTTACGATACCAGCTCTTGATACGTGATACATGATCCTGATACAATAGAGTGCTACATATGTGGACCCGGCTTAATAGGTTTTTCATATACCACACTATCAACTCTGCGAAATAGGAAAAATAGTTTTTCAAAGGAACGCTTATCAGGAAGATTCCTATTTGGATATCGTTGAACATAAACCCTTTAGGCCAACAAGCAATTGTCCTCACAGAGTAAAATCACTAGTAACATATGCATCCCTTCTGCTAGCAGATACTGTTTCATTTTTCCTGATAAAATGATAAATACTTACTTATTAACCTTATTGTAGGTAAATTAAATAAAAATAACTTGTTATATAAATTTCAATAAAGTCTAAAAACTAAAACTTTTTGATACCCCTGTATATATTTAAGGAAGCAATCAAATTTTTTAGTAAAGTTTATTTTTCTGACTATGACTCAGTAATTTCTTTTCGTCATTTTCTATTTATAATTTAGCCAGAAAATAATTACTAATCATATTATTTAATACCGCATTATTGTAATAACTACTATACAACTACTTATTCTGTGAAAAATAATTTTCTATTCTTTCTATTAAGTCGCTGGGTAATGCCGAACGTGAGACATGCAATTTGAATTGCACCGTATCATTACGATATTCCGTAGTGTGGATACTAAGCCGTTAAGTGTCTATTGTACGAGGTCCGGACCTGCATAAATTATAATAGCGTATCGATAGGTACGTGTCCTAGATATAAATTCGTACTAGGAATACTGCAGTTTGTTACGAGTTTCCGGGAATATAGAAATTATACACCTTCGCTGCTAATGTTTCCATTGCAAGAGGAAATTATATACCGATATGTAGAATCAATTAAGTGAAGTGCTAAGTTTACTTATACTCGCAAAGAAAAGAATAGCCTAAAATTGATCATAAAAAGAATATAAAGTTGCTCCAATCTGGGAGACGTTAAAGTGGAAAGTGGATGGAATGTGTCGATCAGTAGTAAACCATTGGCTAAAGAATCGCGATCTTATAGATCTATTATGGATCTATTGAAGGTATAACTAATCATACAGTCTCAGAGCTTTGAGAAAACCCAGTATCTGAGACGGTTTTACAGAGGTTAGTTCTCCGTCTCCGATCACAGTCGTGCCAAAGTTTATGGCACATATGGTCTTCCAGTTTCTTCAGTTCCGCTTTAAGTTGGTTTCCGCTTGGAAAGCAGGATCGTTCTGGTCCAATAATTGGACCAGAACCAATTCCAATTATTGATGAAGTAACACTAACTAAGCTAGTTGGTAAATCAATTACATCTGTTACATTACAGGGTATTTAATAAAATACAGATTTTTAATTACTTTTTGTTTTGTTTCAGAACAATGCAACAGACCATTGGGTATGGAATCAGGAACGATACTGGACGATGCAATTTCGGCCAGTTCATCGTATGTTCCCAACGTTGGACCACGCAATGGAAGGTGAAGTTAAGAAAATAACTTAAAATCATTAATTAGGAACTTTATAATCGTAAAAATAGCATCCGTAAAATACTTTGGTTTACTTGAAGTTGAATCTTCTTGCATTGCAGTAAAACAACACTAGTTCACCACAATGCAGTTTACACATAAAACACTTTTCTTAACATTCAACAGCATCAACAGATAATTAAAACTAAACAATTATTCACGTATTGAATATAAATATACTCAGTAGCGGCGCGTGATTCACTTCTTTGGGGATGCCTAACCACGTCCAAAAAAGATTTCAAAAACATTTTAACCATCCTCGTATTTCCTATAGTTTTCAAGGTTCCAATGGTGGTGCTTGAATTTGAATTGCCCTGTAGATATTCCATTCTGAGCAAGAGCAAACCAAAGGGCGTTAGCAGGAATAAATCCGCTAAATTGCGGATAGCGTTTAGCGACAACATTTAGTTATGCGCATAAATTTAGCGGACTCCAACGTCGAAATTTAATTTGGGTCTTTGACCGCTTACATGGAGGATATAACACGGAAAACGCGTTAGCTGGATGAATCCCTTTTATTTATTTTTCAAGAAGGATATGTATGAGAAAATATTATCTGAAAACGGTATCAATGCTTTTCTTTTAATCTCTAAAGGTGCGTTCACATTACCCGCGTGCAGCCTGAACGAACGCGTCAAACACGAAAAATGTGAAAAGCAGTAGAAGCAAGATCAAAATTATGTTTGCTGTGCTTTTAATGGTGCTTTTGTTATCACATATTTTTTACAGATTAGGATCTTGATTAGTGATACTTCTGACAGAAACGTTGTGTAAGCATAATAAATAAAGACAACGGAAGTCCGAAACTCTTTTAGTTTTAATACTAATTCATTGTCTACCACATTCAACGAACCGTAGTTTCGTTCATACCTCCAGTTAATGACGTCATTATTAATCCGTCCGTCCTTCTTAATTTCGGTGGTGCCTCTTTTACCCTCTTTCATCATCCCACACACGGCTTTCGTAAGCTATCCCTTCCGCCATCTTTTTTTCGAACCTTCGTCGTTCGACCGATCCCCCCAAAACAGCTTACAACAGTTTAAATTCATGGCCGACCCTAAATCAAGGATATTATGGTCCTCGGAGTCCCGTATAAGACGTTACCTTTGGCTTTATATATGTACCTGCTTGCCCCCCTCTTTTTTCATCTGTGGTTTTGCAAGAAACAACAAAGATTAGAGGCTATTGGAGGACTGGGTGGTATGAGGTTAGGTTTAGGCAGTGTTGCCAGAATTGAAGGAATTTCTTCAATATGAGGGATTTTATAGTCAAATTTCGTTTTTCGTATCGAAAATTCGATTGAAGGATTTTTTTCCAAAAAAAAAAGACAATATTTGATACTGTCTAAACACTACGACAATATTCTGGCATCTTTGCACAACAAAAATTGTTAAAATATATAGTAGTAGCTTCTTTTTTTGTTTTTCCTACATTTATTTTTTCATTTTAACGGTGTTTAATTAAGGATGCCTAAGTTTAAAGCAATGTTGCTGTCTAAATTGAAGTCTAAATTATAAGAAAATGCATTTTTACGAAAAGTTGAAGAGATAGATAAAAAATGGTATAACACAATTCAATAGACAATTAAATTGCGCATCTGATTCTCCTAAAATATACAGGATGTTCCATTGAAATTAAACAAGTTATTGCCGTTTAAAGCTAGAAATTATTTAAAATAAATTTTTAGACACTCTGTATGAGATGGTATTATTTTTATTATTGCAACACAATAACTGATCAATAAATAAACTTTAATAAATATTTAGTATTAAAAAAATTTTCATACCCTCGGAGAAATGAAGCCTTAAAATGTTTACTGCAATTTCACAAAATTGAAAATATTTCAAAAACGATAAGGTTTAAGTATGATAAACTCTAATGAAATTTTCCTTTATTTTAATCGTAGAAACTAAAAATATAATAATATACAGGGTGTTCCATTTAAATAAAATACAACTTATATTTTTAGTTTAGTCTTAGATATTTTTTACTTATTTGTGCCATTCTGTATCTTGTAAAAATATTTTCAAATTGTAGCTCTAGCAGTCCTTCAACGAACCCAGAATTTACAATTTGCAAAAATCTAATCGTTTAGCTACAATACTCCGTGTCGTATGTGGTGAACAACCCTGTATAAGTTATAGTTACTATTTAATTTTGATGTTCTAATAATGTCTCTTAATATTCTCTATTAAAATTCTCCGAATTACCTATATTCTAGTGGTAAATTAACTAGTACTAATAACCACTTCAGTCCTGATGAACAATTACTAATAGAATAATTACACCCCTTAATTTTATTATGGCAACAGCGGCATAAATTCGTGTAGAGCAAAATAATGTGTTTTGTTCCGCTGGGGTCCCGTTCCGGAGGATGTTTTTACCCCAATTGAAAGAGAAGGCGAGGGAATTGGTGTTAATTCTGTTACGCTGGGGTTTTTAATCGAATTTTGAGATGGTTTCCTGCTCGGTATCCCCGACGCCAACGCAAATATTGAGGTAACGAGTTAGTTTTATCATCCCGGGCGCCAAGATTGTTTAATTTTAATTATTTTTACACGGGCCGAAGAGGTTTTTTAATCTGTGTAATTAGCAATAACAGTTGTTTTGATAAATGCTTATTATACTTTACCACAAAACAGGTTTTTAACAATTATTTGAGGGTAAACTTTTGATTTGTGTAATGTATTTTTATTATATTGTTTAAATTGTTCTTTTCTTATTTAAGGAAAGAAAATGTTTCTTATTTAAGAAGGAAATTAAAGATAAAGGATTATCTATAATATGTTCCAATTATAATGTATGTTTTTCTCTCTTTAAATAATAATCATATAATATTGCCTCTGAAACAAAAATATAAGAAAATAAATGTAGATAATAATAATCACCGCGACCTTATACCGGGTGCGTCTCAAAAGTGGCTCACCCCTATATTTTTTTTTATTTTTTCAGTTAAAAAATCGGTAAATTTGGTACATCCTACGCGGAGCAAAGGGCTTCAGTGAAAGCTCTCCATCGGGTTCTGTTTTTGGCAGTTGTTTTTGCTTCCTTCCATGTTGGCCCTACTTGTTGAAGCTCATCCAGTATGGAACGTCTCCATGTTTGAGCAGGTCGTCCTTGCTTTCTTTTTCCTTGGGGATTGCATTCCAACGCTGATTTCGCTATATTACTATCAGGTTTCCGCAAAGTGTGACCTATCCAACCCCATTTTCTTTTGCGGATTTCAATGCCTGCTTCTTGTTGGTTTGTAAGATGAAGCAGGTCGGTATTACGTATAGTATCTAGTCAAAAGATTTTAAGTATTTTCCGCAAGCAGCGATTGATAAATACCTGTGGACGGTTGATGGATATTTTTGTCACTCTCAATGTCTCGCAGCCATATAATAAAACTGGTACGACGTTGGAATTGGATATTCTTAATTTTGTTTGTGTGGAGAGTTGACGGGAAGTCCAAACTGATTTTAGTTGGCCAAAGGCTCGCTGCGCCTTCTTGATCCTGCTAACAATATCCGCGTCTGCGCCACCGTTTGCTGTTACAATACTTCCCAGGTAAGTAAACTCTGTTACATTCTCGATATGTTTGATTCCTACATTGAATGGAGGGTTGTTGTTTGTGTTAATGCGCATTGACTTTGTTTTGTCGATGTTTATGCTTAATCCTACTTTATCTCCTTCTGTTTTTAGACGTCTGAGCATCACTTTTATTTCTTTAAAGGATTGCGTTGTGAGACAGATATCATCAGCATAATCCAGATCCGTCAGATGCGATGTCCATTGTACTCCCCTAATATTTGCTGTGGCTTTAGTCAAAACGCTGTCGAGCACGATATTAAATAGAAGCGGCGATAATGTGCAACCCTGCTTTACTCCTGTCCCTAAGTTAAAACTGTCGCTAGTTCTACCGTTGTGCAGCACATTGCATTCTGTGTTTCTGTAGAGTTCCTTGATTATATTAATTAGTTTTTCCGGAATACCTTTTTTCTTTTAGAGTTTCCATACCATCGCATGGGGCATACTGTCAAAAGCTTTGACGAAATCTATGAATAATAAGAATAAAGGTGACCTAAATTCTATTGACTGCTCTATGATAATGCGCAATGTGTTAATATGGTCAATGCACGAGTGGTTCGGTCGGAAACCAGCTTGGTTCTCTCTCGGAGTAGGCTCTATATAGGAGTTTAACCTTAAATGAACTATAGCGGATATTATCTTGTGTTTAAGAAGATAATACCTCTCCAGTTGTCACAGTTAGTGGTATCTCCTTTTTTAGGGAGTTTAATAATGAGACCCTGTTTCCATTCATCTGGAATGATGTTAGATACCCAAGCTCGTGTAATTAGAGGATGCAGTATGTCTGCTGCTGTTCTAGGATCTGCTTTGAGGAGGTCTGCAGGGACGCTATCGGGGCCGGCTGCCTTATTGTTCTTAGGTGTTTTAATAGCCTTTTGTATTTCTGTTTTCGTTGGCGTGTTGCAGTTGATAGGCATTTCGATTGTTGGCTCCGGTTGGTCGTTGTCGAAATTTTGTTCACTTATGGGTCCAAGCAGGTTGCTGAAGTGTTCTTTCCATCTGTCAAGCTGTTCTTCAGAGGATGTTAGTGGTCTGCCGTCTTTGCTTTTAATAACTGTATTGAAGTTACTCGGTTGTTTTGTTATTTTGTACAGTTCCCTCATATTGCGTTGTTCTGCGGCTTTTTGTGCCTCGTTTGCTAGTTGTTCATGCCAAGCTCGTTTGTCCTTTCTGGCTGATCTCTTAACTGCTCTATTCGATACTTGATATTGTTGTTGTAAAGTAGTTTTGGTCTCGTGAGTTGAAGATGTTATTATCGGTATGTTAGTATTTAAGTGGTATGTTAGTATTTAACATAAATTAGGACTGATTGACCTATTCAATTGTTTTCGGTTAATTCCTGTTTCACCGGAAATGACTACAACTTTTGATTTTAAAATGGC